AACAAAAAAGCGAGCACTTATTGGGAACAGCAGGGAAAACCCTTTGTGTATATATATGTTTAGCTGCTTGGCGTCTGCTTTTAGAAAGAAGCGTCCCTGCCGTCGGCAGGCGAACCACAGGCTTCAGTGCTGTTGGGAGATACTGCATAGCCAGGCTTTCAGAGCCGCCTCTCTCCCTGCCCACGCTGGCCCACGTGCTGATCTAGTGTGACGTTTACAAATAGCTAAGGGAGCGCCTAGGAACATTTTGCTTATTATTGCCATGGTTTCTGATAAGATAAGCTTTGTTGAAAACATTCAAGTATGATAGTAACAACAGGATGCAGAAAGGTGGTGTTTCTCCCTTGAAAGGTGCTTTGCTGTGAAGCCGTAACACAGTGTGTTATTCGAGAATCCTGGGAGGAGTCTCTGGGATCCTAGTTGACTGTGGTGGGAGAACTCGTTCTGCTTTCCTTTCTTTCAGATCAGTGGATCATGTTTCTATATCCATAGCAGGAACAATGCCGTTTGTCAGTAAGTTTTTCATACTGCAGTCACCCTGGAGCCAGTGACTGAGTGGATTCTGCCTCTGGTGTTTCTGTAACTTACTGACCGTCTGCTGGAGCGGTGCTGGCTGGCTTTGGCCACTCTGGTTTATGTGTCTTGGCTCAGTTTTCTGCCGCTACTGGATTTTCCTGGGAAGGGCAGACTGTCTTATTTTTCACAGTTTCACCTTTTTTTTTTTTTTCGAAGCCTCTGAATTGAGTATTTTGGGCTTGGAGAATTAGAACTATCCCCAAATCATCAGTTACATGAAGCTCGTCTGTTCTACAAATTATAAAGAAAATACAATTAAAATGGAGTTTTAAAAATGTATACTTTGATTCACTCTTATTCATTCTAACATGGTAACACGTAAAGGGGCCTATTGTAGTTAATGATTTGTTTAAAAAATGTTTGGTGAATGTTTCAGAATGAACAACTTGGTACTTTGTGTTCAATTAGTAACCTCAGTGTTGAAATTCTTAGGAATCTTCAGGACAGATTGGCCAGTCTGGACTCTGGATTAGGTAACTCTCAGGTACCCAGCAAGACTCTCACATTCTTAGGAAGGAGGACTTTTGTGAGATAAGTGGGTAGACGTTTTATAAACTCCGGTTGTCTCCGGGAAGTTGGCTGATGATGGACTTCCGAGCCCAGAGTCGCACTGGCACATGGGGCCCTGGGATTGAGGCGATGGCCCCGGCCTCTTCCATTGTGGAGGGGAAGTGGAAACTCAGTCTCTGGCTCAGGAATCCCGCACTGTGGGGTCCGTTAACTGGGGCTGGCCCTGTTTGAGCCTGACTTTATGGGGTATGTTGGCCGACAGTGGCAAGAGGGCCAGCCGCGGGGGTCCTGGCCTGCGTGCTTCGGGCTTTCTGGATTGCCTCCTGGGCGCATCCCATGCGATGGCCTTGCTGACCACATGCTGCACCCCCATCCTTGTCCTGAAACAGAGCAGCTGTGTCCTGGCGTCTCCAGCAGGGTTGCCCTTGAGGGTTCCGTGCTTGCTGCTTGGTGGCAGCCGGGGCATCTGGACTTCACCGCAGGGCCTAGGGTTTTGTCAGTTAATGGATGTGGCTGCAGCCAGGGCTCTTGCCAGCCTGTTGCCTCTCCCTGTCCCTGAGCATTTTCACAGCCCAGCCCCCCACCCAAGAGAGGCTTCCTTCAGGAGTCTGCTCCCTCTGTGGCTGAATGCTGCCCCCTTTTTCCTTTCTCCCTGGCCCACACTTCTTTCTTCTTTGCTCTCTTTTTCCTCTTTTGCTGTTCTTGAAGTTTTCATTATGGAAGAGTTCAAACCCATATGAAAGTGGAGAGTAGTGAAACGGTGCACTGGTACCCAGCCCCAGTCGCAGCAACGTGCAGGCATGCCTCTGGTGACATCTGTGCCTCACCCCATATTCTTGAGGTATTTCTAAGTATTTCAGTACATGTGTCTAAAAAGCAGTGCTCTTTGAAAAATTACGAAAATATAATCACACCTGCAAAAACGAACAGTTCCTTAATATCATCAAATATTTATCAATGTTCAAACCTCTTTTTTTTGAGACAGAGTTTCACTGTTTTTGCCCAGGCTGGAGTGCAGTGGCATGATCTCTCTCAGCTCACTACAACATCCGCCTCCCAGGTTTAAGCAATTCTCCTGCCTCAGCCTCCCGAGTAACTGGGGTTACAGGTG